TATTTGTTTCCGTATGCTGACTATATCAAGCTAAAGAGTTTTTTTAGGAACACAAATCATAGCCACAAGCTAGCTGTTGCCATCAACCAATCGATCCAAAGACGAGAAAAAATGAAGTCGAGAGAAACTGAGAAAAAAAACTCCGTCGGAATTGAGAAAAAATTGGAGTAAAATAAAAAGTTAAACTATTAAATTGAAAATTAAACATTGTTCTTGTATTATAATTTTTAAATACTATATATTTCAATTTATGATTCATTATAAATTTAAAAAAGATTTATATTTTTTTATCTCTTAGGACTTAAGTATTACTTATGTATTTTTTCTATCACAATCCTGAACCAAAATAAAATCCTTTTATTTTGATTCACAGCTGCTTGAACTTTGGTTCTTCTTATTTGCCTTTCGCGCAATTATCTAATTTTTCTCGTAGACTATTCTCTTTTGTTGCAAATGTTTGATCATATAATATTGCAGTAGAAACTATATACTTTTTTTCAATGCGTGAAAAAGTGCGCAGTTTTTATTTAAAAAAAAAAGGGATACCAACATATGTTTTTGCGATTTTTGTAACTGAAGATTAACGCCCAGCAAATTTAGAACTGATTTCAGTTTCTAGAATCTTTAATTTGCTAACTAATGTTTTCATAACAATGTCGGACTTCAAAACTGTTGTATTTTATTTTTGTTGTTTTTTGTCGAGTAGCAGTCCTGTGTTATGCAAAGATCTGTATGTTTCGTGTATGTTTTCTTCAAAACTTTATATTGAAACAATGAATATTTCAAGAACTTAATTAGTATTCGAAGTTTCTTTAAAATTTTGTCTATATTTTCTTCATATTCAATCTTCCTCCGAATAATTGATAAACAATCAGTCTCTCCACCAGTTTCCACTACTGCTTCAATATCCGATTCAGTTTTTTTGCGGCCGACAATTTTGTGACAATCTTTTTTAACAAATATTAAATTAAAAAAAAACTATAATAAATTATATAATTTTGTAATTTTAATTGTAATATCTTCACTATCTAAGCCAAATTCTTTTAACTTTTCCATAATAAAAAATGTTCATATGTTTCAGCAGAGCAAATTACGTATCGTTTAAGAAAGGTGAAATTGCCATCTCCATGATGGCAATTTCACCTTTCTTAAGCAAAAGGTGAAGTCGTGGTAAAAACAAAAACATTTAAATTATAGTATACGTGAACTCGGTGTGAAGATATAAATTATTGTATCTTCTAACTTTATTTCTACACCATTCGTCACCTGTTAATCTTCAGATACTGGTTTTTAATTCAATTAAATTAATAACTTAGCTTTGAATTAGCTTATGTAAATACACTAATGTAAATACACTTTAACTTATAGATAAATTAACTTAATATTTTTATTTTTTATTTTTGTTTATTTTTAAAATAAAATTTTTAATATTATAAAGTTCTTTGCCAATTAGGACGTCACATTTAGTTGTTATTGAAAAATATATCTAAAGAGCGTTCATTTTCAAAACAACTGCTTAGAATTATCGTAAAAGCAACGTAAAAAAACAAAATTAGTTATTTTACCAGTAAAAAAAATGATATTTTTTAAAAACGAAGTTTCTCGATTTTTCTCGAACTCGAAAACTCCAAAAAACCGAGAAAAACCCCACGAGACGGAGTACCGAATGGATCTTTTGCCGTCAACGAAGATGCATATATATTTATTTTTTAAGAAAAATGTTGATTTTTATCAAGTTATTGGGGACAATGCGCAATTTATTGAAGTTTCACATATCAAAAAATCATTCAGCTCTTTCATTGAAACAAGTCAACAATTACAATGCACATTTTTGAAGATCATGATTATGCAATGAAAGAATTTATTGTGACTCAACATAAAGATTTGCGAGATCAAAAAAAAGTTGAGACAATGATAATATTGAAAAAATCTCAGAACAGAGTACTTAAACAACTACTAACACAAAAAAGATTGTTAAAAATTCATTTTGTCTCATCAGGTGTAAGAGAACTTAACCCCTGACCAAGATAAAAAAATTTAAATCGCTGATAAACTGTTTGGAAACATTCCAAATGAGTCCTTCTCAATTGAAGAGAGCGTATATACAATAAATGATGCCATGTTGGTTGCAGAGAGAGGACTTTAACTATATTTACATTCCAGATATTTTTTATTTTCTGATTTATTTGCATTTATAGATAAGAAATAGACTTGATACAGATAATATCAAAAATACTCTTATGTAACAACGACAAAAAAAGAAACAAAAAAAAAAAAAAAAAGTTAAACAAGTGTGCTATGGTGATGAACATTGTACTTTTTTAAATTTGATTTGAACAAAGACAAAGTGGACGAGTAAACAATATAATATGGTAGAGAATATCTTGATAATTTTTTCACAGTAGAAAATCTTAGTGTGTCATTTTTACATTTAATACGTGAATAAAGTTTTTGTGCATGGTATCTTGTAAAATAGTAAGAAGAAATAAATGAGCACAGAGGTACAAGATTCTATGATAAATCGAACATACATTTTTTAGGCTTTGATCAGAAGCTTGAAATTGTTACTGATAAAGAATTTTAAAAGTAAGTAGGAACAAGAATGTGCCTCGCTTGCAATGAAAAAACAGTGATTAGAAAATTTCATATCAGAAGATATGACTATACCGATATCTTGGATTGAAATAATAGATTCAATATGTGTACCAATATTCATTGAGTATAAATTTAAGAGTAAAGAACTTTTTCTATAGTGAAAATAAAAACATATTTTGGTTGATATATTAAGTTGCTAAACTTTTAACCATTCTGTAAATTTTTTTAAGGTATTGTATATTGTTCCCATCATTGCTTGCTTGATATAACTTGCTGTCATCAACCAACAACTTAATGCTGCAATTACCTTCAATACATGAAGTTACATCATTTGTAAAAACTATAAATAAGATGGTCCAAAAGTAGTCCCTTGAGGTATTATACTCTTTACTGGAATTTTTTTTTGAATACGAGTTACTAATGCAAACACATTGAGGTTTCCTTTCTTATGGACGGGGCACACTATTGCGGTTTTCCTGATTAAAGGTAAGGCATTTCAAAAAGTATGGAAAAAGGAATAGCAATAGCATTTGTGATTAACCTTAGAAGTTTTGGTGGGTATCCATCAGGTGATTTGGAGGACTTTGGTGTAAGGTTTTGAGGGATAAAACTACAGAGCTGTATGGAAACATTACATTATTTAAAGAGTTTGAGTGTGTTGGCAAATCTAAGATAGGAGCAATACCATTATCTGTAACAAAAACAGAACTAAAAAATTTGTTTAAAAGATTTGATTTTTCACAATCATCTGTGCAAAGAGACCCATATGGTCGTAATAGTGCTGCAACAAATAGTGGTACAACAAATAGCTGTGCAACAGAACTACAACATTTGGTTTTTGCATTTACAAAAGAATAAAACTGGGCAATATTAGCTTTATCGACTAAATTTTTCTCTCTGAAAATACAATATTTATTTATTTCTGCATCGTATAAACATGAACAAATGTTATATTTGATATGTATGAATGTATTACCAGTTCTTTTGTATTCTCTATAGAGAATGCGTTTTTTAGAGGCCAATTTCCGAATGGCTAGCATATATTAGTTTATATTTTGTAAATTTGATTGTACGGCGTTGTAATCACTTTTGTAAAAATTGAATTCAATTGATTTTTAATTGATTTAAAATTTACTCCAAATTACAATCGAAAATAATCATACAGTGGTCGCAAGTAAATGGGGCAATAGTCTTTTAACTCTTTAGATTTTCTTAACTTTGTATTTCTTTCAGCTTTATTCTTTAGCATAACTATAAATGGAGCATTGCTACCATTGTTAGGCTTTAACTTTATAACACTTTGTATGGTAACATTCACATTATGGTAACATATTATTTGTAAATTTATTTTTCTTCTTTTTCTATTTTAGGATCTGCTTTTGTAGATGCAGTTAGCCCAAAAATAATAATAATATTCTCTCTTACCTCTCTCTTTCTTTTGTTTTATTTGTTACAGAGTTGATAATATTGGTTTCATCACTTTATTTAGTACCCTTTTTATCAAATAACTTGCTCCAATCCAAATTTTACTATTTCTGGATTTCAAAAGTTCTAATTTTTTCGGATAAAAACTCATTTTCGTTTTTGAGCTTTTTTATTCTGTCCAAATGATTGGTCTCCCTCCTCTCCAAATCAATTATTCTGTTTGTTAACTTTTCTAATTGCTTTTGGGTAACCATTTTACAGTCTTTAATACTTATTCGGGCTTCAACATTTATAAACTGACTAAATAGAGAACAATTATCTAAACATATATACTTCACACTTGAAATAAGGAGGCTGCATAAATTGGCTAAAATCCAAAGAATAAATATAAATATAAAAGTCTAATTATTTTCGGATGTCATCGATAAAATATGGGTCTAATAGAGACGCTACAAGATACTAAATCTTAGATCAATGCTTGGTAAAAATCTGTAAACTTTACGGAGTTTATGGCATTGATTAAATAAAAACAAAACATCAGTTTAAGAATATTTTAGTTATCAATCAAAATATCATTTGCTTGAGATAAAATTATTAGTTTTATTAACATTTCTGTGATATTCTTTTCTATTCTGATCTTTAATAATAACATAATAATAACATAATAATAACATAATAATAACAAAGTTGTTCCTTTTTTTGAGACCATAAACTAGCTTCGATGCTTTGGTTACAGACTTTACTGCAAGTTCAATTGATTGAAAGTTGTTTGGAAGATATGTAAGTGGCACAACAAATTACATATCTTCCACTTACTATTTCTTTCAACAACGGATACCGGATTGATATCACTTATTAAAAGAAAAAATTGTCATTTTGTATTTCCAGAAAACGTATGCAGAATTATCAAATAATTTATATGATAATTTATATGACATTTTATTTATATTTATGTTTTATTTATATGACATCTATATTATATTTATATTATAATTTATATGACATTTATTTTAGCAGATCATCCTTTTTTGATATAAGTATAAAAATATAAATGTTTAGTGTATACGTTTATATAAGCGCAAATTAACGTAAAGTAAAATCAATATTTTAGGTATTGAGTACTGAGCTAAGTAAAATTATAAATTAGTAAAGTAAAAAATCTTTTTTAAGGTTTATTATTATCAAGCGTCAACTTGTAATCGAGGCAAAGGCCTTAGCTTTTTTATAGCTTCTGTTTCCTTGCTTATATAATCACAGAAACCATTTTGATTTACAACATTAGCGTTTTTGCTTTTAAATGTTTTTTTATCCATTTTGACTAATGGTAAATTTGTTTTAACTGTAAAAATTTCTTTTTCTTCTGTTTTTGAAACTTTTTCATCTTTTATTTTCAAGAAAATAGTCGGTTTTTGGTCATGTTGTATTTTAAATGTTCCGTCAACAATAAAATTAGTTAGTTTAGTCTTGAGCTTTTTTTGCCACTTTTTAGCCATTAATTTCATTTCTTTTTCAATTTTTTTTTTTTCCTCAACATACACTGTTATATTTAAGCTTGAGTTAATTTTTGAGTTCTTTGATTTTATTAAACATAGTTCAAATACTGCACCGAACGCAAACAATATTGTAATCAAGCACGCAGACACAATAAGCACATATTTAAAGATTCCTGATTGAGTCGTAAACAAAAGATTTGACTGAATTATAGGGCTCGATGTTTCAATAAAGTTGTTAAACATATCATGAACAAATTCATCAATTTTATCTTTCTGAAAATCAATATACTCAATGACCAAATCGTTTAGATGCACATCGTTAATTCCAACACCGTAATAAGATTGGTCGACATCTTGGATTATATCACTAATAAAAAAATTACTATTAGAAATTTGTTCTTGAAAATAATTTTTTGCACTATACGAATCTAACACAAAACCACTAATTGGTTGGTCGTTTTTGTTATTTAAGCTATAGATTAACTCATTAATTGTGTTCATTGAATGTTGCTTTGCATTTCCTTTCAGAAGAAGCTCTTTCTCAAAAATGTGGTTAGTTAATACGCCTATATCACCGCTGTATACGGAGGGTAAATATCGGTCTGTTACTTCAAATACTACATTTGTTAGACCTGCCGTCATAAATGAAGTTATGGTAACACCACACAATATCCAAAACATTGCAAAGAGCTTTGCTATTACTCCTCTTGGTGCAATATCACCGTAGCCAACTGCTACCATCGTGACAAAGGCCCACCAAAATCCTAAACACATATAGTTTTTTTTATACTTAACTTATGCTTTTTATTTTTCCAATTTAAATTATTAATCTTAAATTAATTATTCTTATATTTATCGATCCTAAATCATAAAGGTTCCGAAATAGTTTGTATACAGTATTTCGATTTTTACCTTTTAAAAACTTTTGTTTTCAAACTTTTTGTAATTTTTCTTATTTCAAACTTTTGAAAGTTGAATATTTAAAAAAATATTTCATTTGTAAATATCCACTCTGTTAACCATCACTTAAAAAAGTAAAGGAATGCATAACTTTATTAAATTAATGAAGTAATTCGTTTCCAAAAACAATAAAATTAATAGAGCAAATTTAACTTTTTACAGGTTTCTTAAATTTCTGTATCTTTATGAGTAATTGAAAATCTTTATAAGTAATTTTTTTTTACAGATTATAAAAATGCTGTCAATTGTGTATTTTCAGTTTTTAATGCTTTCATTTTTTTACTCTAAAAAATGATTTCATGGAATATATAACATTAAAATTTTATCAGTAATCATCAATAAACAAATTAATTATGACATTGAAATTATATTTAAAAGGAGCCGTCAAAATTCCTACTATTAATCTTATCTTATTTTAATAATATCTACTTTACTATCTTAATAATATCCTTTTTCCAATCTTCTAAGATAATAAATCTATTTAATTAATTTTCATTTAAAATATGAACTTTGATTGTTGTTTATGATTGATGTTGATTTGTAGGATGTTACGTATTTATCAAAATCTCGCCACTGTGCGTAATTTGGAAATATAGGTGGTGCCTTTATCGTAAAAATATGCATTAACGTTTCAAAAAACAGTGTTTTTTGCAAAATTTTGAATATTTTCATACAGTAAGCTACCAAATTTTTATTTCAGACCGAAAACAAACATGAAATTTTTGATATGCTGAAGGATAGTTTAATAAAACATGTTTATTAAACTATCCTTCAGCATATCAAAGATACAATTCTTTGATATGCTGAAGGATAGTTTAATAAACCCTAGTATAAAAATGTTTAATTCTTATAAGTAAACTTGTTTTTTATTAAATTGAGTGAAAATACTATATAATTTACATAAAATAACGCATGGAATAAAAATTATGTTTTACAAAATTTTTACATTGTAATAGTACGTTATTCAGCAACTTATGGAAGCATGTCGTACTTTCTCACAGGCCTATTAACCTTGCGGATGACGTCATAAACTGGAGGCGAAACATTTTGTATTTCCTAAATTCATTCTGTAGCATAAAGCCAAAAAGCTAAATTATTTGTTCAATTTTTAAATTTTTAGTTTACTTTATAATAAACATAGGTCGTAAATGCTATGTCACGAATTGCAACGGCATTTATGATAAAAGTCTTAAAGAAAAAACCTTTCGTCTTCCTCGAACACCAGGAAAAAAAAAAATTGCCTGGCTGTTATACCAAAAGACAACATACCAGATAAGAAAAACACCATTGTTTGTGAAAAGCACTGGCTTGTTGGATACGTTTTGACAAAAGATTATTGCAAAGAAAGACCATGTGATCCTCTATCTGTTTTTAAGTGTGTAAAACCAAGTTTAATACTTAAACCATCTGGTTGTCCCAGAACAACTTCAAGATCACATGCAGAAACAAGAAATGTTCTACCTGACGAGTTGTCTGCTTTTAATTTAAAAAATGTTATAAAATCTTTTAATGATCTGAAAACACACATAGAAAACTATAAATTTAATGGAATTGATATATTTAATACTAAAACAGAAAATCAAGTTTTAATTCAACCCTTAGAGTTCATTTATAACACAGGTGTTCCGTTGTTTGTTCTAAAAATAAATAATAATTTTCAGTATGAATATTTTCACTTTGGAGTCGAATGTTTATTAAAAACATTTTCAAACAATAGAATTACCATATTGAATAGATAGTCGCATATTGAAGAAGCATTTTGATTTTTAAATTCATATGAGATAAGCAGTAAAACAAATATTATTGAACAGCAACTTTTTTCAATGGGCAATAAATTTTTTAAAGATAAAAATTATTCAGTTGAAATAGTGATAAGAGTTTTAACATTAAAGAGACTAACATGAAAAGTAAAATCTATTCATGAGGATATTTATCTACAAAAGATTTTTTCGAACTTAACAGATAATAGACATAAAAACTGCATTCTTCTAATAGATGAAGTTTATATAAAAACATGTTGCAGTACCGTTGGGGAACAGTTTTTGGAAAAGCGGTTAATAATTCAAAAACTGTTTTAAGTTTTATGGCAGCAGCATAAAAGCAGCAGATGGCGATGTTATTTCTATAGTTTATGATGGTAACAGGGTAAATCAAGCATTTTTCAAGAAATTTGAGACAGATGGCGTACGTTAGCAAACAAAAAAAGTTATATATCTCAGTATAGTTTTGTGCACCTTTTAAAAAACAGTTGCAATAATTGGATCACTAAAAAGTCACAGGAAATTGAATTTTCTGTTAATAAAAAAAAAGTTCTGAAATCTTGATTTTACTACATCAGGTTATTCTTGTGAAAGATGCGGTTTTACCTTAAATGAAGAAAAATATTTGATATTTGATAGTTTGACAGAGTTAGAAAATATATTATACATAGATGTCAAAATGACTCTAATTTACAAAGCTGGTTGTATTGTCCGAAACGACAAAGATTCAGATGACTCATATTTTTATTATGAAAAACTTAGAGACTTTACGAAGGAAATCAATTGTGGTGAACTAACTATACCTGGTGCTTAAGTATGTCAATGGGTAATTTATTTCTATATTATGTTTTGTAAAGTAGCTGATAATACATGCATATCTTCTTTGTGCAATCTAATGATGCTTGTATCAGAACACTATCAATTAAATATGAACAGAAACCATGGTGTTACACTTTCAAATATTTTCTTTAAAAACTATTGTAATTTATATTCTCCAAGGTCTGAAAAAGAACCATAACAGAAACTTTTAAAACTTAGCGTTGAGTAATAAAGGTCAACAGCAACTGTTTTTTGTAAAACTGAACTGTTAAATTAAAACAATAATTCTGTATATTACTTTAAAAGAATAAAATAAAAAAGTATTATTATTTTTTAATATATTTTTAACGCATTTTTGTAACTTACTTTTTTTTCTTCCTTAAAAATTAAATGTTATGTTTAGTTCAGGCTATTACTGTATGTTTTTTTTAAAAAAATTTGTCTTCAGTTTGTGACGTCATCGGAACGGTGAATAGGCCTGTTATAAAGTACGCTATGTTATGAAAGGGAATGTCTTTCCCCTCCCCCTCCCCCTTCCTTCCTCCGCACTAACTTAAAAAACAAAAATAAAAATTTTAAATCAAAAAAAAGTTTGTGATGAAAAAAATTGTATTACTCATAAAAAGTTATCAAAGTTTCATGGCAGACAACATACGCACTATATTAAAAATAGTGAATAAATTAATGTTATACTTAAAAAATTATATTGACTCTAATTAAAAGTTTGTATATTGAATTGCAATATTTTAAATATTTGATTAGTTTTCAATGTCTACTTAAATCTTTTTTGAAGTTTGCTTACAAATTGAGCAGTACAAGTTTCCAATCATGTTAGTTTGTAATTAGTTAATAACCCTTGTATCAGATAAATGTCAATTATCCTTATTTTATTAATATTAATCTCTAATCTGTAATAATTTAGAATACCATAATAAATAATCTCTACATTGACAAATATATGAAAACAATGCAACATACTTTGTATACAATGGATTTTATTTAGAGAACACAAACTAGAAAATAAAATAATCCTATTTAAATCAAGTTATTTTACCTTCAAAAGATCCTGGTATAAATCGTCTTGGTAACTGCTCTTTATTATACCAGGTATCTAAAAACCAAATTATCACTCCCGCCACATATGCTAACATTGTTGATATACCAAACAAAGGCCACAAACTATAAATAGCACGGAATATATCTTGTGCAAACATTGTTGGAAGAATGTTTAGTTTTGTAAAAAACATAGCTGCTGAAATTTTTATAACAGGAATGGTTGAAAAACTTTCAACTCTGTTTAACGCTTTTTGTGTAAATATTGGAAAAATAATATCAATGTTATATTTGTTGTTACTGGAAATTAATTGAGACTGATTTTCCAACTTATTAAATGTTATCTGCAAACAGCTTCCACAACATTGTGATAAGGCAGCTGATATAATTTGCGTTAGAATTACTCCAGGCCAGTTATTGGCTCCGAAAGTATTGTTATCTGTAAATGGAGGCATACTAAAGTAAGCAACAGTAATATTTTTGGTGCAGATACTCTCAACGTTTTGTGAGCATTTTCTTTCCCATGATATTTTGTTTGATGATTTTTGTTGATTAATATCTTTTGAAAACGAGAAATCTAAATAGCATCGAGGTTTATATCTTGCAGCAGTTGTCAAACATAAAAAAAACAATAAAAGTATCATTATTTTTTAAGTTTCCAAAATGTTTTATTTACTCACTTTTTTGTTAGCATTTTGAAATACTTGCTACTCTAAAAAGAGTTTCAATGAACCTAATTAAATTAAATGCAGGTACGACGTAGCATGATTAAATTCTATTTAGCATTGATAGGTTTTACATTATTACTAAATTTGTTTTTAAATCATCTCTAAATTATTAAATTTATTAACGTAAACCTTAACGTATCAATCCAATTGTTATTAATTTGCGATTTGAATAAGTAATAATAAAACAAGACAAGTTTGATAAAATAAAATGAAACAATCATGTATTTAACATAGCATTACAAATCAAATACATTTAACACAATAAAAAAAAATTTAACACAAGAAAAACTGAAAAATATAGTTTTGTTGTTATACTTTAGGGGCCATTTAGAGGCGGAATATTTAGGGGCGGGTCCAGGGTTGAGCTGGCTTGAAAAAACGGCCCGGAAATTATGGTCATGGCAGCATTAAATATATGAAACATAAGTCAGTCATCACATCATCCTATGTTTCATATATTTAATATTTAATATATATATATATATATATATATATATATATATATATATATATATATAAATATATATATATATATACATATATATATATATATATATATATATATATATATATATATATATATATATATATATATATATATATATATATATATATATATATATATAAATATATATATATATATATATATATATATATATATATATATATATATATATATATATTTATATATATATAATTATGGTCATGGCAGCATTAAATATATGAAACATAAGTCAGTCATCACATCATCCTATGTTTCATATATTTAATATTTAATATATATATATATATATATATATATATATATATATATATAAATATATATATATATACATATATATATATATATATATATATATATATATATATATATATATATATATATATATATATATATATATATATATATATATATATATATATATATATATATAATATATATATATATATATATATATATATATATATATATATATATATATATATATATATATATATATATATATATATATATATATATATTTATATAGGGACGCCAGAAACCTTCCGCCGCCACGGACAGCAACCCTGAGTAGCGTCCTTGTTTTTCTAAATTTATTAACATTATTAATGAAGGACCTTTTTATTTTTAGGTATCCTCATTAGTTTTGTTGTTATTTTATGTATAAAAGAAATTTTAATCTTCCCAGCCTAAATATTGATAAAAAATAAATATTTTTAAAACAGTGCTGCAAGTTAGAATCTAGAAGTAGTAAACATTCACTATTGACTAGTATAGAAACTTTTTTTATTGTTCAACTAGTCGATGCTAAAACATCATCGGTTGCATTGTAATTAATTCTTTGAAGAAGGTACTTTTCACGTGACATTAAAATGAATGATCGTAAACTTGACTGGCTCAACAAATTTCTTAATCTGTTCAAAATATATTTTGAACAGATTAAGAAATTTGTTGTAATAAACGAGGTGAAGAAATGGCTTGTAATAATCGAGGTGACTTTTATTAAATTGATATTTACCCAGTGGGCACCGGACCAAAAAAAGACGTCTTTTGAACGTTCAAAAGACGTCCAAAACGTGTATAAGATGTTTGAAAGACGTCATTTTAACGTCCGTATTCATTGGGTAGTTAGGCCGGTGCGGTGAACATAATGCGCCGCGGTGAACAGACATAATTTTAACAGAAAATGAAAAAAACAAAAAAAAAACGACTATAGCTTTTTTAGAAATACAAGAAATGTTACTACACAAATCCTACACAAAAAAGAAATACAATTATTATTTAAAGAACAAGAAAAAGTATTCGTTGATTTACTTAGTGATAACTTAAAATTCTCAATGCATGCTTAGATAATATTAAAAAAAAAAATCATTGGGTTAAGATAAAAAAATTCATTTATTGAAAAAGGATAAAAAAGACCAAAAAAATATTAAATCAATGCTAAAAAATATAAATTTTGAGTTTATGGTAATATGCTTAATCGAAACATGGTGCGAAAATCAAAAAAAAAATTTCCAGGTATAAAGCAATCCACCAAACTCGACGGTGTGGTGGCATTGGTGGCGATGTAGGGTAGAGTGGGGCTTATCGGGACAGCGGGGCATAACGGGATAGTTATGCCTGAAGCCTTATATCTTAGTCGAAAATAACTTTTTTTCAAAATTTTTTTTGATATATCATTTTAAAATATTGTGCTTTATTATTGAAAAAAAAACTTGATTTTAGAAATACCAAAATGCATTAAAAGTACCAAAATGCATCAGTAAGTTTGCGAAAAACAAAATTTGCCTATTTTTTTAAGCGATACAGCGACAAAAGATTTATCTTGAACTCTTGCGAATTTGTAAAAAGTTTATATGGTTCAGACAGTATTTTTTATCCTCTTTTAGAATCTGATTTAAAAAAAAAATTTGCAATTTAACTTTTTGAATAGTATTATTTTCAGTAAATTGACTTTTGTGGGGCATATCGGGACGACACTAGTATTTATATAATTGAGTATAATACTACCATTTCGCAATGCTGTTTACAGTTTATTATTTTATTTTTAATTTAAAGTATTGTTTTTTTTTTTTTATTTAGAATCAATTTTAGCAATAAATTTAAAGAATTTCTTATTTTTATAACTTAACTTCGATGATTAATAGTGTTTAATGTAAACAGAGAAGGTAAGAAATTATATGAGAAAGATCAAGCATCCAAAACGGGATAAAATTCAGTTTTAGTGTGAGTAAACAGAAACTTAGAACAAAAGCTGCTGATACATATGGCGTATTTAAGTTTGCTCTACATTGGCATATTGCTAATAAACCAGCTTATCAAAAATGTTGCCGAACAGTTTCAGGATATGCTTTGTGTAATTTATGTGATCCATAAAAATTTTTTGTTTAATTTCAAATTATTAGTAGTTACCAATTTAGTAATTTGTAGGTTAGAGTAGAGCGGAGGTATTTTATAATAAAACACACACACACACAAAAAAATTGTTTTATTTCTTTTTTGTGGTGTATGGGTTATTTCTTTTTTGTGGTGTATGGGTATATGGGCGTGTAATTTCTATGGATATGTTACTTTTTTGAGAGTTTAATGCCTTTAACATATTTAAGCAATAGATAGCCTTCATTTTTCATCATTTTTAAAACTTTACAATTGAAGAATAACTGATGCTTTTTAACTGTCCCGTTTTGCTTCACTTACTTGCAAAATGTAAAAGTTTTGCTAGTATAGAGTTTTGTTACTTTGGTTGTCACAACTTATTTTTAGAATTTTTTTTTTGTCTTTTTATTTTCTTATATCAATGAATTTTATGAAATTTATAAAAAACAGTGTTAACTATGATTAGTTTATCCGCAACTAGCATTTGTTTCTTAAGTGTCCCTATATGCCCCGTTCTGCCCTATGCATTTTTATTGACGAGTCAATCTATTTTCAGTAAATAAAAACTCTCATCATTCAAAACGAGGAAAATCAATCATTAACAATCGAATTATTAAACCACAATAAAAAAAACGTTTTAATAACTGTTTTAATGGTATTAACATCATACCAATTTGGAATAATGTTAATACCACGGTAGTTATTTGGATCAATTAATGATCAGGTTATGGTAGTTATTTGGATCAGTTAATTTTGTTAAGAGCTTTTAAAATTTGCGTTGTTGTATCATTCGGCAGCCGTTTTTCAAAACGCCTTTAGGTTAAAAATATCATTCTTGACTTTTTTACAAAATAAGCTACTTTATATGTCAACAAACTTTATTGAATACATATTTTTAAAGAGTTTTAAAAAAATTCATTAAAATAATTCGTTTCAAAAAACGTTTAACAAAAAGTTAATATTTAATAATTTTTATTTCTTGCGTTTTTCTCGAAGTAATAAGCGTATTAAGGCGTTTTGAAAAACAGCTGCAGCATATATTTATAGTAAAATAATAAATGTAGCAAAAAAAGCTTTTTCATTGTCAAAATAAAGTTTAAAATTTTTATAATCTTTTCTTTCACTTAACAACAATTCTTTCTCAACTTTCTTTGTCGTCCAAGGGACACATAAAAATTTCTTTTTATATTGTATTTTTTACCGTCAGCCGGCTAATTGCCTTTTTGACGTTCCTCCAAGAAGGATCAAAATTGTAGTTATATAAAATAAATCGTGTTTACAAAGACCCATAAGAAACCGTGTAATATATAACCGTTTTACAAAGATTCGTAAAAAAAAAAAAATATTATAAAAGCGAATAAAAGCGAAAATAAAAATTCACAAAAATTCAAATTATATCTTAACTCATTCAAAATAGTTACTTATGTCTGCAACTAAATTTAAGTTTCCGTTTATGTCAAATATATTTCTAATTTCATCTTTGTGCTGTATTGTGAGAATTAAAATAAAAAGAATTTAAAAAAATAAAATGTTTTGCATAGAAAAGAAGTGAAAATGTTTAGCCACGTGCCTTTCCTTTTTTTTTTTTTTAATTCGAAAAAAGATTCTTTTATATTTTCTTTTATTTTTTATCTGGTATTTAGCCTATTATTTGTTCTCTTGTTAAATTCATATATAATTTTTTTTTTTTTAATTTTAATTTAATATAAGATTACATCCTTTTTTCTTCTAATATATATATTTAGTAGAAAATAAGATTCTTTATATGAAAAGTTTCTCAAAGTATTAAAAATATTATTCGAAATAGTTGCATATATCTGCAACCAAATTTAAGCTTCCATTGCAAAAAATATTTTTTATTTCCTCCTCGTGTTTTTCTTGTTTCTTTTGTTTAATTGTTATTTGCAACTCGGTTTTTAAAACTTTTTCAATTTTTGCGTAAATTTTTTAAAAAAGATATTTATTTGTAAAAACCTTATTTTCAAAATGGCTCTTCATTCTGTTATAAAAAACTTCTGTTAATAAAATATTGCCAAACTCTCTTTGCTTTGCCTTTTTTTCTTAACCAAATAATAAAAACTTAAAATTGTTAGTATGAGGGTATTCTATAGGGTAGAGTTGATCTAAAACAAAAAAAATTAAAGGTTGTACTTTCTCACATTCATAGATCATGTGAGCAGTCGTTTAAACTTTTGTTTTGCATTGTGGGCATAGCTGATCTTTTCTTACTTTTATATTAAACACCTTTTCGTTTGTTGGTAATATAAAATGCGTTGCTTTGTAGCGAATTTCGCTCGCTTTATTATTGTTTCTTTTAAAAAGGTTAATGAAGAAATGTTTCCAATCATTATCATTTAAATTATCCATGCTATCAAACTAGGACTTCCAATTATTATACTTATATTCAATTTTTTTGATAGGTTTGCTTAATAAATAGTATAACGTTAAAACAGTAAGGTTTTAGGGTTAGGATAAGGGTTAGTTTATGACTGCATCAGTTTAAAGTTAACAAACCTTGTTATTTTTAAAATTGGCTAAGATTGCTTGTGGGTTTGTATTTCTTTTTGTACCTTTTTTTTTAAATACTTAAAAGTATTTAAAAAAGTAAAAAAAATTTCAAAAAAAAGATTTTTTCTGAAAAATATTTTTTTTTAATAAAATTGACAAAGTAACTTATTAAGTTATGTTAACTTTGTTTAGTGTTAATATAAAAATATACTTCATCTGACGCGGGAGGACGCGGGTTGCAATGCAAATGAAATACTTGTACATTATGTTATTTTACTTTTTATTTGTACATCATGTTATTTTTACATATTTTTATTGTATTGTACACTGTTATTTGTTTATTGTTGTATATTATGCTATTTTTACATACTTAAGTTGTATTTGTACATTATGTTATTTTACTTTTATATAAAGAATTTTTTTCTTTTAAAGGAAAAATATTCCGCTCCTTTTATCAGCAAATACTGCGTTTCTTTAGGATAAAAAGCTCGACTTAGTTACACATGTCTAGATAAACGCATCGTTTAAAATTTAGCAAAAACATTTGCTAAAAATATTATCTTTTTGTACTAAAAAGTAGAGAATAAACTTTTTAATTTAAGTTTATTAGTTCCGTAAACTTAAGATTGAAAGGTCTGCGCCATATTTATTTAGAAACATACCTGTCAATCTCTAGTTTACGGAACTATTAAATTTAAATTAAAAAGTTTATTTTCTACTCTTTAGTACAAAAAGATTATATTTTTAGTAAATGTTTTGCTATATTTTATTTAATTTTTTAATTATGTTTTTTTTTTTTTCAAAACACATAGTTACGTTTAAGGATAAAAACAATATAAAACTACATTTTACAACTTAAAAATAATTTTTAACTCAAATATTTTTTAATACACTAAAGATTCGTTGGTGTAAAAATCTAAACACGATCGGCTTGGCGTGGATATGGATTAAAGGATATCAAAGTAGGACATACTCCTTATTAGTGACTCATATGTTTTACTTTTGAACATATGAAACGGTAACTAAGAGTGTTGTTAATTAAATTTCAAAAAATGAATAGCCTAAAAAGTTATCAAAACGGACTAAAAAGGTATAGTAGCTGATTTAATTTTTTTGGGAATGAAAGTAGACGTATAACAAAATCATTTTTTGTTTAATTTTTTTTTGTCTACCGCATTAATAACCTTTTTGTAAGTTAATTTAAAATGCTCATAGCATCAAGTGGTGTGGGTAAAATAAGCACAAAAAACAAAACAAAAAAAAACTAGCTAAACTTTTGTCTAACACCACTTTTTATTTTTTCCAGCTAATTTCTTAGTTGAAGTTGACCTCATGATGAAACAAACAAGATTTATTAATTTGTTCTTTATTTTAAATTTAAAATTGATAATTTTTTTTTGTAATTTTTTTTTGTACATATTTGTGACAAAATCATAATAAAGAACATTAACACTGTTTTTTACAAAGTATACTTTGTATGCACGTACGTACGCAGTAATGGGGAAAGGGGTAACCAAAAAAGGAATGAATCTGAACAATGAAGGAACAGAAGGTGTAAAAGGGGGGGGGGGGATGGTGGGGTTAAAGAAAGCGGTTCTCTGCGAGGTTTAAATATCTCTTTTTATTTACCTCTCATAAAACTCGATTTCTTTTTTTGAAACAAAAGCATCGAATTTCACGAGTTTTATTTTATTTTTATAACCGAGATATATAACTAGAAGTTTTAAGTTTTTAATATTTTGAATTATTTTATTATTATTTATTAGGAAAGGCGGAAAAGAGGTTGGCTGTGAAATAAATAACGCGCACGTATGAATAGAAAAATAGAAAAAAAGAGAGAAAAAAGAGAACTTATTGAAAGTATACAGGTACTTATGGAAGATGGAGGGGACCTAAATCAGCAATTTTATATATTAAGCCAATTTGTCAAACTAAGTTTAATCAGTTTTATATTGCATTTCATGCACCCTATCTTTGGAATAAAAATGTTTTGTCCAATTTCAACATGCATTTAACTTTTCACATTTTCAAATATAAACTGAAAATTTTATTTATCCTTATGGTTGATGTAGTCAGATTTTATTAATTGTAATTTTAAATTTTCTTAAGAACTTTTATTGCTAATTACGTTTTATTTTGTTGATTATGTTTTGATTTAGATATACTTGTTCTTGTAAAAGGTTCTTATGATAAGATCAGTACGATCTTCTAAAAGAAATCTTGTTTGTATTTGTAAAAGTAATTTATTTACTACGACAACAAATGTAAACTAAAAAAATAATAATAAAATTAAAAAAAAAAAATTACTCCGTATCTTTTTTATCGATTCCTGCTAATCTGGAAGTATCACGGAAGTACCAATATCTTCCCGCAGCCGCCTTGCTTAAGAGAGTTTTTGTTTTGGATTTTCAATTTGAAAAAGGGTTGTAATTAAATTACAGTTTTATTGTTTTTTTTTTTTAATAAATAAATAGCTACCTCAGGAGAAGTGGCCTTTCAGAAATCTTGGGGAGTTTATACAAAAAAATCAATTTAAACAAATAATTTTATTAACGTTCACTGAAAACTTGTTTGTTTTGAGATAAAAACTTGTTTAAGAAGAACAGCTTTAAACCTGGAATTGCAATTGTGGTAATGGTCTTTTATAATTAATTTTTTCTAACTTACTTTTATTAACATCTTGGAAATCTTTTTGATCAATTATTGCCAAACTTTTGTTTTCGTACTTACTCTTCTTTTTATTTTCGATTTTATTAAAGTTAGTTTGAAATTGAAAATATTTTTTTATTTCTTCTGTGGTGTCTTCTTTTTTTTTCAATGTCAAAGAAACATTTGGTTTTTTGTTGTGTTTTACAGTAAATGACCCATCTAGAACAAATTCATTAAACTTGTTTTTTAATCTTTTCCTCCATTTGTTAACAAAATGCCTCATTTCATTATCAATTTGTAATTCTTCTTTATCATAAGATGATTTACTAAGATTTGAATTGAAGATTCCACTTTTTATTTTCATCAAAAAGAATTCATAAATTGCACCAAAGATAAGCAAAATAATAATCATACAAGCAGATATAGTTAACACGTTTAAATAGATACCTGACTGAGTAGTAAATAATAGATTTGATTGTATCATTGTGTCAGATAAATCTGGCAAATTGTTTAACAAATTATTAATGAAGTCATTAATATCATCTTTATGATGTATAATATAATTATTAATTAAATCGTTTAGATACACGTCATAGATTGCAACACCATAATATGATTGATCAACATCATATATCACATCTCTGACAAACAGTTTATTTTCTCCACTTTTCATTTGTTCTTGAAGATACATTTTTGCAGTATAAGAATCTACAAGAAACCCATCTATAATTTGATTTTTTGTACTATAAATCAACTCTTCAATAGTTTCCATAGGGTATTGCTTTGCATTTCCTTTCCTAAGAAGCACTTTTTCAAAAATATGGTTGTTTAACAATCCAATATTTCCACTATTTACAGAGGCTATATATTGATTTTTTATTACAAAAACTGCATTTGTTAAAGCTGCGACAATAAATGATGTTATTGTAATACCACATAGTATCCAAAACATTGCAATTAGCTTTGCTATTGCACCTTTAGGAGCAACATCTCCATAACCAACAGTTGTCATTGTAACAAAAGCCCACCAGAATCCTAAACAAATTTGAGGTAAAGTTTAAATTCAACTTAAGTTTACATTTAACTTAATAAAAGGTCAATAAAAAAGTTCATTTTTTATGAAGAAATAGATTCTTTTTACATGAGGCTTTTATTCAAGTTTATTCACGTCTTTTAAAATTTGTTTTATTTTTCTCATAATATAGACCCATTAAATTTTAAGGAAAAAAAAAATCTAAACTAACATCTTTGCTAAAGTTTTGTTTTTTAGTAATTTTTAAAAGATATATTAGTATTTAAAATTAAATATTCTATTTTTAATTAAATGTTTATAACATTTTGAAAGGTACTTTTATTTGTTTTATAAAAAAAAAAAATTCAACTTTTTTATCCTTTTTAATTTATATTTTATTCAGTACATTAAGAAAATTCATAATAAAACAAAAACGTGTAAACATCCATAAAAATATACAAAAGAAACTAATAAAACAAAGTTTAGCTAAACATGTTTTACCCTCAAATGATCCAGGAATAAAACTTCTAGGCAATTGCACTTTGTTATACCAAGTATCTGAAAACCACATTACCACACCCGCCGTAAACGCCAACATTATTGAGACACCAAACAATGGCCATACACTACAAATAGCATGAAATATATTCACTGCAAACAATGTTGGAGGAATGTTTAGTTCTGTAATTAACATAGCTGTTGATAACTTAACAAGCGGAATTATCAAAGGACTTTGACTAAAATTTATTCTGTTAGGAGCTCCTTGTGTAAACATAGGATATATAATATCACTATTAAGTTTGGTTATTGTCTCAGTTAATTGAGACCTAAATTCTAATTTATTAAATGTTATGTTCAAACAGTTTCCACAACACTGTGACAAAGCAGCTGAAACTATTTGTGTCAGGAAAGCTCCTGACCAGTTTTTTAACCCAAAAATATTGCCATCTGTAAATGGGGGCATACTGATGTAAGAGACAGAAATATTTTTTGTGCAAATTGCCTTAACATCATGTGAGCATTTTCTATCCAGTGGTTTACTGTTTTGTTGAATAGATTCGTAAAACGAAAAACCAACATTACACCTTTGTTTAAGCCTTTGTGATGATGCGAAACCTATTAAAAACAGTAGCATCATATTTGTTTATTTTTTAAACTTATTTAAACCTTCTTACAAAAAATGCTTCCTCAAAAAATGAAGTTAACAAACATGCTTTATACTTTTTTTTTAATAATTAAAACATATTATCCCAGAGAATGGTTAATTAAAAACGTTATTTTATTCATTAGTATGTTCATTCATTTCCAAAATAAATTGAAAACCTCTAATGCACGTAATAGCAATTTCTTCTCATTAATTATTAAATCAAATTGTCCCTCTTTAGTAACGTTAAGGAGGAATAATTTGAAGTTTTATGCAAAACCAGTATAAAAAAAAAAGAAACTTCTACTAAGTGACGGAAATATCCGGTTTTTAAAGGGCTTTTTTTATTTATTTTTAATAATTTACTCTTACATAATACAGAAAATTGCAAAGATTTATGCAGCTAAACCTCTTAGCAACTTAATCATCATCCTCATCATAACCACTATCACCGTCATCATTGTTTTCGCGTTCACACAAATTGGATAATTTTGACAATGCCATTTGTAACGTACTTTTTTTTTTCTTCTTCAAAACCGGCCATAAACTGAATCTGTTCAATATATCTTTGAACCATTGAAGATCTGTTCAATATATATTTTTGAACCATTTGATTAATAGTTTTTCTAGCATAACCAATCACTTTTTTTCTAGTTTATTACTAAATACGTTACATTAGTTACTAGATTTACTTTACAACATTAGTAACTTTATTTAAAAATTGATGTAAATTTAAGTAAAATTAAACAATTGCAACAGTTAAGCAATTAATTCATAGTAAAAATATTGATGGTCTTTGGAAAGATGCAACGATTCAACAATTCAGAAATGCTAACCAAAATAAACATGTTTTCAATATTATTCCTACATATCATTCAGGCACAGCCCATCTATTCTCAGTTATCTACTAATTGGCACCAAATAAAACATGAAACAAAACTTTTTCGTATATTTTCGATAAAATATTTTCATATATTTTCTATCAAACTTTTTTTAAAAACTTTGATAGAAATTATACGAAAAAATGACTTTTATATGAACTTTTTATGACAAATATATGACTTTTTGAAAACAATTTGTTACTCATTTATAAATAATTTTGGCTTTAAAGTTTTCAATATAAATTTTTTTAAATACAAAGTTTTCAAAGTTACATCTTATTCTGTTATAAAAAGTTTCCATAATAAGAAATTTTAAAAAATTTGAAACTTTGCCAAACTTTAGTAACCAAACAAAATAAATTAAATTGTCAGTAAGAGGATATTCTAACGGCTTGAGCTGGTCTAAAAAGTTAAAAAATAAAACATTAAAGGTAGTAACGCATTCCTATATTTTGTTTTTTACTGTGGACAGAGTTATCGTTTTTAACTTTTATATCAAATATCTCTATTTGTGCTATTTTAATAAGAATCTCGCTAGCCTTATTTTCTGGCTTTTTTTTTTTTAGAAAAAAATGTTTCCAATTTTTTTTTACTTAGGTACTTTATTCGTTCTGAAGATATTAATTAATTAGTAGACTTAAACTCTGGTCATTTTTTTGGTTTTCTTATTAATTTGTAAAAAGTTAAAACTGTATGGAAAACCTCATCTAAACTAAAGATTTCATCCAAAACTGAAAGTTTTGATAATGTAACATCAGATAATGTAAGATCATCTAACATTTTATCTGATAACTGAATATGTGCAAGAATTAAAGCTTTTTATAAAAACTGTAAAAGACCATCTAAATAAATTTTTTCTTTTGATTCAACTTTTGACTCCAAAAAAGTGGGATTTTTAATTGAGGAATCAAAAATCTTAAAACTGAAATTGCTTTCTTTGTATTTTGAATTACTTTTCAAACGACGTAATTTTTGCTGGTCAAAGGTACGTTATCTAGACTAGGATATTGTACCTTTGACCGACAAAAATTGTTGAAATTTGTTATCGTGTTTATTAGGCGGCTGTGCTTTATTGGTCTTGAATGCTAAATTGTTTCTAGTATAATAGAAATGAAATAATTCTATTGCGTTGTAATGCAACTCATAATTTATTCTTGGAGCACTATTACACTCAAAATTATCAATTTTGTTAGTTGAACAGCTGTATCAGTATCATAAAAAGGTTCAAGGAACCTATTTACAGCTATAGGGAATTAAAAGCATAAAAATACCTATAAATTCTGTTAATACATTTTAGTTTTAAAATGCGAAGGATCAAAGTTGGTGTTTTTCGCTGAAGAATTTCAAAATTGATATGCTTAATGCAGTATATTTTGCGCTTGAACAAAAAATAAGTTTAAGTAAAACTTTAAGATATTGCAACATTAAAAAATCAACTTTGATATATCAGTTAAAACAGTTGAAAAAATCATATATCAGTTGTATAAGCAGGTAAAAAAATCATATATATATATGATTTTTTAAACTTTTAATAACTTCATTATAACTGTTCTGGAGCTTCCTTTATTTCTGGCTCCGGTTCGATGAGCTCGGTCGACTTCTGTTTCATTTAGTCTTGTTTCAGTTATTTAAGAATAGACGGATTACCAGAAAGTACAAAAGGAACATGGTATGAAACTGAGGATAAAGTTAAATTATTTTTTAGTATATAAGTTGGGACTAAATGAAACAGAAGTCGACCGAGTTTATCGAACCGGAGCCAGAAAAGAAGGAAGCTCCAGAACAATTATAACAAAGTTAAGATACAATGATAAAACAAAAATTCTAAAAGAGTCATATAGACAAAAGAGTACAAATATTTACTGAAACGAAGATTTTTCTTATGAGACTGTCAATATTAGGAAAAGACTCCTGGCTGAAGTAAAAGAGAGACGCAATAAGGGTGAAAATGTTGGTTTAAAGTACAATAAAATTATTAAATTAAACAATATAAAAAAAAAAAAAAACTCTTATTTCTTATATTTATATCTTACAAGTGTATGAATATATATTTATATATCTTATTATATTTAATTTTTTTTTCTTTTGTTTTTTAAACAATTAAATTTTTAAACGTGACAATGACGGAAACAAAATATTTTGACATTTTAAATTCTTTTTCTAAACAATAACAACGACCCGGAGAAATGTTTTTTTGAAAACAACTTATTTAAGTCTAATTACTATAGTATCGAAGAATTATCTTGTTTTATAAATGTGTCACAAAATACTTTTTCAGCTCTGACATTAAATGTACGCAGCATAAGCAAAAACTTTGAAAACTTTAAAGAAGTGCTAAAAGACATAAGTCAGGAGTTTACGGTAATGTCTTTTTGAAACATGGTACAAAGACTTTTTAAAATAAAAACTAATAACAATGTCAAACGCTTTTTAAACAATCTTTTACTGCACGGCGTAGTATCCTTAATAAATAAGCCAACTCGAGTAACTCTCCGAACCGCTACCCTAATCGATAACATATTTACAAATAATACCATAAAATGTAACATTCAAAGCGGAATAACAAAATTTGACATTAGTGAACATTTCTTCTCCTTAACAATTTCAACAACAAAAAAGAAAACAAAACAATGATTATAACAAAAAGGCAAATAAATGAAAAAATATATAACAAAGTTCCGAAGCAACTTAGCAATGAAAAACTGGGATCAAGTTGTTAATTGCAAAGATACTAACACAGCTAATGATATTTTTAAACACACGTTAACAAGTTTGTACAAAAAAGCGTTTCCGAAGCTTGAAAAATTAACTAAATTCAAAAACCTTAAAAGTCCTTGGATGACAAAAGGGCTTATTAAATCTTCAAAAAAAAAACAAACCTTTATTAAAAATTTTTGAATAAAAAGACTTATAAAAACGAAAAAATATATAAACAATACAACAATCTATTTAAAAAATTAAAAAAACATTCAAAAAAAAATTATTATTGCAATTTATTAGAAAATTATTGTGGTTACACCGAAAAAACAGTAGAGTGATTAAGCAATACTTAAAAACAGATGAAAATGATACAGTAGCCAATAAGGCAATAGATGTAGCAGAGAAATTTAATAACTATTTTATAAAAACTGGGGAAAAATTAGCTAATAAAATAACTTATGGAAAAAAACGTTATAAATCGTATCTAGGAAAAAAGGTCTCACGAATGAACAAGTTTGAAATAACTCCGGATGAGCTTAAAAATGCATTTAATACCTTACAACAAAACAAAAGTCCAGAACTAGATGACATTAGCGTGAAAGTTGTAAAAAATGTCTACGATGTTACTGAATTATTGCAATATTCAGTAATAATTCTCTCATTCGAAGCATTATTTTATTGAAATGAGAATTCTGAATATTTACGAGCTAAATGTATTTAATATTTTATGTTTTGTCTATATGTGTATAAATAACTTATCCCTAGCCGTATTCAAAGATCTTTTCTCTTTTAAACCAGTCAGTAAATATATTTTGAGAAATAATAACTTTTTAAATGAGCCTTTCTGTCAAACAAACTTTAATCATTTTTGTATTACCTATCGCCACACCTTTGGAAAAAAATTGTTTTGGCAAATTTTAATTTTGAAGTACCTATTACTTTTTGCCTTTTAAAAAAAAAAATTTAAAACCTCATTCTTTCATTAGATAATATATTGAGTTATTATTAGTAGTAAAAGTTAAAAATATATTTTGGTCTATTTTTTTTTTGTTTATAGAAGTTTTATGTTTATAGAAGTTTATTCCTACTTATTTTATTTATTGTTCTTATACATTTTAATTTTTAATTTATATTTTGGTTTACTTTGTATTAAAATCTGATGAAAAGATCCTCTTGATCTTTCTTCAGACACAGATTGTTTGCCTTGCAATTTAAACCAAAAAAAAAAAAAAAAAAATTCCCTTTTGCATTTCTGTAATCTGTCTTTAAAAAATGGGGTGTTCCCTGACCAGCTAAAGCTAGCAAAAGTTGTTTGTATATTTTAAAGCAGAGATGATTCTTTTGATTCTAACTACAGGCCTATTTCTATTTTGCCATGCATTTCAAAAATATTAAAGCGCATAATGCACAATAGGCTAAACAATTATCTAGTAAAACACTACTTGCTAAATAATAACCAATATGGCTTTTAAAAACACCATTGAATAAAACACGCTGTAGCCAAACTTGTCAATGAAATTTTAAATGGGTTTGACAACAATAAATACACTCTTGGGGTATTTCTCGATCTTTTAAAAGGGTTTCACACTGTTGACCACGAAGTTCTTTTTTATAAACTGTATAATTATGGAATAAGAAATAACAATTTAAAATGATTTCGCTCTTACCTTAATAATCGGAAACAAGCTTTATCATATAACAACATTATAACAAGACTTGAAAACATTACTTGTGGGATCCCACAAAAATCGAACCTTGGTCCATTGTTATTCCTCGTTTATATTAACAATATCTACTTATTTTCTAACATACTTAACTTTGCTTTTTTTGCTAATGATACGCAAGTATTCTTTAACCACACAAACATTTATTTAACACTGTTAATCAAGAGCTTGAAAACCTGAACAAATGGTTTAAAGCTAACAAACTCTCTTTAAATGTCGAAAAAAGTAAATAAATTCTTTTTACAAAATCATAAGAATCTGAAACCCTACCCTAAAACTACCTTATTTAGTAATTGATAAAACTAAACTTAAACGAGAATGCTCAATCAAGTTTTTAGGCGTAATTCTTAATGAATATGTTCATTAAGTAATATAGTATTAATATTTTTTTTTATTAAAATCAATTATTTTAACTGTTTTGATAAAGTCACATTTTCTTTAGCTAGATGTTACTTGCATAGGATGATTAGGGTTAAGGTCCAAAACTTTAAATGCGATTTAATTGTAATCTCAGCTGGAGTTATCATATCAATCTCAGCTGGAGTAATCATATCAAAGTAATTATTGGTATTATGTATAAAATAAAGCAACTCCTAAACACAAATTGTTTAAAAAATATTTATTTTGCATTTATTCATAGCTACATCAGCTAATGCAACATTATCTGGCAAGTACTTATCATTCAAAGTTAAGTACGATCTACAAAATACAAAAATAAGCAAGTCGCTTGATATTACATGCAAATAAATACGTTAGTGCCAGACCACTACTAAGAGAAATTGTAGTGCCTAATGTTTATGAAATAAATATTCTTAAAGCCTTAGACGTGTATAAGACGTTTAAAAAACGTCTTTTTCACGTCCATGCCCATTAGGGTGGAGTGAAAAAACTTTTTTTTAGAAATTCATTTGAGCTGGGTATGGAAAAGTTGCCTTTGGGTACAAAATGAACTGTGGTAAAAGCATTTTGCTCTAGATTAAAATTTAGGTCTGCCCCAAGGCACTTGAAAATTTGAGTTTTTTGTTAATTTCGCAATTTTTGGTTTAAAAAATAATAATTTCCTATCATTGCAAATTCATGTTGGCTGGTTATGCAAAAGTTGCCTTTTAATTCAAGGTAAACTGTGATAAAAGCATTTTGCCCTAGGTTAATTTTTAGGTTTGCCCCAAAGCTCTCGAAAATATGGGTTTTTCGTCCATTTTGTGGTTTTTGCCGAAAATTTAATAATTTCCTATAACTGCAAATTCATGTTGGCTGGGTATGCAAAAGTAGCCTTTTAGTACAAGGTAAACTGTGGTTAAGCATTTAGCCCTAGGTTAATAATTAGGTCTGCCCCAAGCCACTTGAAAATTGAGCACTTTAATTTAAATCCATACAAAACCAATTTCGTACATATTTCAGATTGCTTATAGGCATATTAAATAACATTACAAATGTATAATATATCCAAGAACTTCACAGTTCTTTAAATCTTTATAATTGAAACTGAGACTTATTGTTGAAAGTTTTTGTCTTTGATCACGATTCCAGTGTGGCACGAATCATTCCATCTCTGCGATCAAAGCCGCAAACAGTAGCTGATGCTTCAGTAACAAGCTTAACGTGTCTTTCAGTTGACTGAGTGTGACATGGAAACTCTGGAATATTTAAAACTGGTTCAGTCAATGAAACACCATTTACAAATGACTTTATTTCATGAGTTGAGATGTTCTTTGTAGCAGGGGGCTCGCTTTTCTGGACAACACTCCAGTCGATTAGATTAGTGTAGCCATCTGCTTCGAAATTAAGTTTTGGCACACGAAAGCGTCTTAGTGACTGACTGTTTTTTTCACTTGCACCAAAGATTCTTCTGAATGCCAGTTTCCTTATGTGTTCGCGCTCATCAGTCTACATTGCAAGTAGGATGTTTTCGTAATGACTGAAATAAGCATTTCTCTGAATTACCTCATCCACAATACATCTTAAGTCATTTTTAAGGTACCTTGAAAAGTTTATCATTCTCCATAGATGGAGTGCCCCTTGAGTACAAAATGATTTCGTCTTGATATAAAACCAAGTAGGAGCGTAAACTTTAACAACAAATGTTGCAAGAGTCACTAGATTTTCAGTTGGATCTTCCATCGAAACATATAACCGCAGAACTCTGCTAGCTGTTGTCAGCCAGCGCGAATGAACTGCAGGACCTGGAGTCTTATATGCCAGATTTATTGGGCATTCACAATTATTCACTGTGTGGCACATTTTATATAAATACATTTGATCTGTGCTTAAATCTTTAAAATTTACATCTGGAAAACTATTCATCTCTATAGTTGAAAAATGCTATACAGGAAAAGTTTCACAGATTGGAAGTAATTCACCAATTGGAATTGAGAAAGCTTTTGGTCCACTTGTGGTGCCATCTAACTTGCACAAAAGGTGTCTAAAAGGGAGCTTTAATGACATATAAAGTAAAAAACTTCATTTGCATGAAGCATGCAAATGAACCAATGCAAAGGCCTATCGAGTTTTATCTCAAGTAAACGGATGACACCTCCTAATGCACCAGTGTTGACATTCGTGCCATCACAACCAATAGCTACTAAATTGTCTACCCAGAGGGCACACGACGGAAAAAAGAAGTCTTATGTGGGATTCTCGTATGAAGAGGTCACAATTACTTATTGGATAATTGTTAGATAACATATGTGTTTTATATTTATATATGTATATAGATAAATAAAATATACAAAGATTGTTTACATAGTAAAGAAAAACTATATATAACTTTATACGACATATATATGTCGTGACTTGTTTTTTTTTACTTTATATGTCATTAAATTTTCTTTATTTTTATATATTTTATATTTTTTATGTCATATAAGATATATATAAAAATAATGAAATTTAGATTGATTAACTAATTTTTTTATTATATTACTGTATGAGTATAAAATCCTATTTTATTTACTGTCATTTATATTTTAAGTATTATAGGTTTTTTTAAACTTAATACTTAAAATATAAATGTCAGGAAATAAAATTATAAAATTAAGATTTTATACTCATGCAGTAATAATATAATAAAAAAGCAGCAATAAATCTAAATTTGCTTTATTTTTATATATATGTAATTTTAATTTCTTTAAAGTTAACAGTCAATAACTTAATCCCTGTTACTATATTATAGATGCATGGTGCTATATTATATATCATAAAATGATATATATGACAATATGATATATATGATATATATGAATCGATTCATACATAATATAGTAACATACATATATAATATAGTAACAAGATATAACAGTAAAAAAAATTATATGTGTACTACTAATAATAATCGAAAGTACTTTGAGTAACAGGAAAGTTCGAGTTATCTGAGGTTTGAGATATTGGGAGTTAACTGTATTCTTATGATTATTATTTTTACATTCCATCTACATAGAATTTTGAATTTTATGCTGAAAGTTGCACTTTTTTATATATATATATTTTTTAAATTTTAATTTATTATACTTTTGCAACATTTAATAAAAATACGTATCATAAAGCTTTATTAATATATCAATGATTTAACACTTAGTGCACAAACAAATTAAATAATACATTTATTAATGTTAGAATATGATTGTTTTATATTTTAATGGTGAAAAAATCAAAATTTTACATGATATTTTTAGTATAAAATTTTATAAGGATTTCTTGAAAAAATAATGACAAAATTGATAGTTTTTCGTAACTTCAAATGTTATAACTTTTCCAATTCTTATCAAAATGTATACAATTTGGTATAAAAACAAAGATATGAAAAAGACAAGGCCCCTACAACACCCAGTAATATGTTACGAATGTATATTTGTTAATGAAGGTTTTGTGTTTTTTATTGAAATTTTGGATTTTTATTTGCATATTTTTTATATTCTAACAGACGATCATTAAATATGATAGATAAACAAGTAGAAAAGAATATAGTAATACATAATACTCTCCTCATATGTAATACTCTCCTTAAACGTAAATCAAATTGTTTAAACCGGATATGATGATTAAATTCTATTTTGCTTTTTCAATTTGGTTGCCAGCTTCAACCTAATTCTTTATTTAGAACTATGATTTTGAACTAAAACATTTCCGTGTTGAATAAAATACTATTTATTCTTAACTATATATTTTTTGAGGCTTCAGTTATCAAATGCTGGTGGTAATTTTAGTTAGTAATTTTAGTGCCACTGTGAAAGCGTCGATTGTTAAGTATGTGTTTACTTTTTGTATTTTGTTTTGCTATGCAAATAATTTTTAATAATAATTACTTAATTATTAGCTAATAAATTTTATTTTGTTAAATTATTTATTATGGTTATTGTTTATCTGTATGCATTACACTATAGAGTATATGTAAATGCATGTGCAATGGCATAGGTTGTATTTTTTATGTATTCACATAAGACATTTTCAAGCACATTGTCCAATCTGCAAACTTAATTATTTTTATCCTTATGTCGAATAACAACGCCTTTTGCCCTTTCCCATCCCTGAATGTGAGGAAAATGATTTCTGTAAATAAAAGTATTTTATTTAATATTAAATTAAATTTCATCAACAGGTTTGTAACTTTATTAGTATTTTAGCTTTCAAAAGTTTTGACCATATAAAGATTAGTTTCCCTCCTTAAATGAGGAGGTTGCAAATTGTACATCATCATAACTTTTGAATGCTAATATGAACTCATTTCCCTCATATTCAGATATAGGAGAGCAAAGTTTTTTGGGTATTTTAGTTTTCAAGCACCTATGTATTATTTATAACAAATAAAAGATTATAATTTATTTTTTTCATTGTCATTCCAGGCAGACATAAAAAGTTTGAAGTATGCACAAAGCCTGAAAGTGTCAAATATGGAACCTAAAAAAACCTGCCTTTGCCACTAACTGTATTAAGGTTTTTTAAGGTAAGAGCTTAAATAAATTAACAGAAAAAAAATATTATAAGTTATACATTTTTATACTAAAATAGAATAAAAATATATATTTGCAGTTTCAGTTTTTAGTCACAAATATTAAATATTTGTGACACAGAATACAGATATTGATGTCTGTCTTCTTTAATGTCATTAATGCTTTATCTACTGTTTTCTTTTTGTGCATGACCTAATTTCTTTTTATATCAATATTTTTTTAGGTCTGTTTGTCAAACGTCAAGTCAGGTTATCTTGCTACTGGTACCATGTAGTACATCCTGATTAAGCAGGGTGTACGCCATCCATACGACGTTTGGGCATCTGTTTGTAAAATATTACTGCAAATCTTTTTGAGAGAGCCATTACTATGGAGAACCATCTAAACCATACAAGTGTAGAAACATGGATGTAAATCTTAAACACATTTGTGATATATAATTATAGAATGTTATATGTTATAAGTTTGGAAATTATATTCTGCTAAAAAACTTTTTAAACGTATTTTAGCAGAACATACCTGGCCCGCATTTGATCCTGAAAAACATTCTTTTTGGACCAAATGCTGGCTGGGTAATTTGGACTTGTAAATGAACTTATATTCATAATTTTTAAACTGCTTATGATCTGATCTGATTTTATTTTTGTCCTTTGTTTATTTAGATTAATGTGAAATTAAAAAAAAAGTTTTTGTGAAACAAATTTAATGAAGACAATTATAGGTATACCTGTTAATTTTATATATTATGTATTGTATTTTGTATGCTTAGTTTTGACGAGTTTTTAAATACTGCAAACTCACACTCGCACAAAAATCAACTATGAACTCATTTAATCAGTTGCAAAAGTTGACTTTGAAAATTTTGTATAAGATATTATAGCTTATTTATTAGACTGAGTTTTTAGAATGAAGTTCATTCATTTGCTGGCAACATTTTTAAACGTGTTCCAGATCGAAAAAATTTGGTGCTAGAAATTGTCGATAGTGGAAGTGATAGATCAATCGAACCTAATTTGTAATTAATTTCTGTAAATAAATTTCACTTTACTAATTTTTGTGTTGAATTCTTGTTTTTCTAATGGTATTTGAAATTAATAAGTCTAAAAATTAACGTATAAAAAAATACGCACCAAATAAGACCAATTTATGGCATTCCATACCTAATGTTTTTCATTATTTCTAAACTGTAACTTAAACTAAACTCAATTTCTTAGTCCTATCGGGACGTCTTTTTTATGTTCCTCGTAAGGCGTCTTTTTTACGTTCTTCTCAGGACGTCATTTTCACGTTACTTCTAGGACGTCTTTAAAACGTTCCACGCAGGACGTCTTTCTGTATTTCCAAACCCAACCAATTTAAGACGTCCGATCGGAACGTCCTAAAGCTGTTCGCGTGCCACTGGGTAGTGAAATTCCATTCGAATCACAGAAATCTACTATGCCATATGCTTTCTTAACTGATGTTCCATTTTCAGGGCTTATGTGACCGACATATATTGAATGGGGATCTTGACTTAGTGCAACATGTTCTTCTGTAACTATTTTGTAATAGTACTTGGAACCTTTCTTGAGTTGCATTTTTGTTTTGTCCTTCCTATCATCGAAGTACAAACCTGTTAGATTAGAGGCAAGGTGGGATTGAAGTTCATTTCTAACCTTCTGTCTTTCTCTTCCAATTTTACTTCTATCAATAACCATTGTACTGTCACAGTCATTCACGATACCAACGTCTTACAACACGGCACTAGCAATGGCTGCAGCAGCACGATCTGAAATGCTATGGCGATCACATTCCTTTCAAATATTTGGAATGTTTGCTCTCATCTGTTTTTTCTCTGCTGTTCCAGTAGTTGGAACCTTACGTATTGAGGGAAAATGGACATCAGTATCGTTGTCAGTTTCAGTATCAGAAGACGAACTGAATTCAACAATATTTGAAGACAATAGGGAGTTAGATGTAGTGGCTGTTGTTGGAGTTTTGTAAATATTGGAAAGTTTTCTTTTGCGTTTATCGCGTTCTTTCAATCGATTTGTAACAACTTTATCTATACTTCCAATCATCATATTTCTTGTACTTCTTTGATCTTCCAAAAATGGTCTTTCTGCAACTGGTACCTTAAAACTTTTCTCACAATTGCAGTGATTTATGTCCAAGCATTTGCAGACTGCAATGTCAAACAACTGGGAATTAGCTTCTGTACAAAACTTTTGCATCTTTGCTTGATAGTTAGGATCATTCTGTCGCCTCTTTAAGATATTGAGCATATTTCGATGTTTGTCATGAAGTTCTTTTATCTACGCTACAATCCGCTTGTGTGTTATAATTGGAATCGATGCTTTGTACCACAATGCTTCGACTTTCGATGAAACACAACTTGAAACTTCAGCAACTGAAGGGATCTCTGCAGATCTATATGTCATTTCGTCTTTAAGGAACAAGTAATATTTCATCACATCAGCATTTGTGGGAAGAACGGTCTCTGGTAAATATGAAGGATTTCCAAAAACTGGGCTATTGGTACGCAGCCGTGTCTTGTGCTTCTTACACCGACTAACACCAGCCACTCTTGTTATTTTTGTTCGGACGTCACTCACAGATGCGAGGTTCTTTGAATTTTCTAATCTAAAATAATTTTCTAATCTAAAATAATAATATAAAAATAAAATAATTAATTTCTTACATATTAATTCAAACAAAATAATGTTAATACTGAAATTTGTAATTATAGGAAATTATTAACTTTTTCTCCAAAAACCACAAGATGAACGAAAAACGCCAATTTTCGAGTGCTTTGGGGCAGACCTAAGAATTAACCAGGGCAAATTGCTTTTACTACAGTTTACCTTGTACTAAATGGCAACTTTTGCATACCCAGCCAACTTGAATTTGCAATGATAGGATATTATTATTTTTTAAGCCAAAAAAGCCGAAATTAACAAAATATTCAAATTTTCAAGTGCTTTGGGGCAGACCTAAATATTAATCTAGAGCAAAATGCTTTTACCACAGTTCATTTTGTACCCAAAGGCAACTTTTCCATACCCAGCTAAAATGAATTTCCAAAAAAAGGTTTTTTACTCCACCCTAATGATTTTATATATAAATATATATATATATATATATATATATATATATATATATATATATATATATATATATATATATATATATATATATATATATATATATATATATATATATATATATATATATATATATATATATATATATATATATAATATATATATATATATATATATATATATATATATAATTATAGAAATATATTTTTTCTTTTTTTCTCATCTAAAATAATAAAAATGACTATATATTAGAAAACATATTTTGAACAATTAGATCGTATTTAAAGTTTTGAACCTTAACCCTAATCATCCCATGTAAGTAACATCTGGCCAAAGAAAATGTGACTACATCAAAACAGTTAAAATAATTAATTTCAATAAAAAAATATTAATGCTATAATACTGACTGAGTATCAAATCTTTGATACTCAATCAGTATTAATTAGTATTAATTTTAAATATTGTCAAAGTAAAGGAAGAGCTGTGGCGCAGTGGTAGCACACTTGCCTCAGAAACGAAAAATCCGTGGTTCAAACCCTGCCTCTGGGCAAGATTTGCGACATCGGCTGGGAAGGAGGCGTGAACTTCCTATTAAATGCTCTTCCGCGGTGCTCTGCGATAAGACCGTAAGGACTTCTTGGGGCACCTAAAATCAACATAAATAAAAAAAAAAAAAAGAGCAAGCAAAAATATCTCAAAAACGTTCATAGTAACCCAGTTTAAGGTACGATAACTAATACTGACTGATTATCGAAACTTCGGTACACAAGTTTATGCGAGGTTGTAAGGATTGATTTTTCTGATTTTTATTAGGATTGCTTACACATTAGTTAAATGTTTTTTTTATTGACATTTGGTATATCAAATGTCAATTGGCCAGAAGTTACTTTAAAATATATAACAAACTAAAATATTCAAAAGATGCAAACATTGCGTGATTTTGTAATAATGGATTTTAGTCAAAAGAACAACACACATCGGTCAACGGTAAAACCATGGAAGTATAAAACAGATGAAAGTTCAACCGCATTGAAATTCTTCGGGACTATGCTTGTAACCTTTTGTTTCGTAAACAAAAAGAAAACGACATCAAGACTGTACTTAAATGCCTAATCTTTATACGTTGATGCAAATAGGTACGTTTATAATAATTTAAAATTATAGTATTTTGAAGGTTCGTCAATAATACTCAAGAAAAACATTAAAGATGGCGCAACGTAACGGCAAACAACAACCTTTTTATGAACTTCATATTAAATGAATGGAGTACTACAAAAATGAATGGAATTATGATATACAGCTAATGAAGCTTTAAATTTTAGTTTACAATTTTTTCGATTTTTAAAAATTGTTTTAGTTGCCTTTTTAATCAAATGACGCGTTGATTTATAACTAGAAGAAAAGCTTAAACTAACATATGCTTTTAAAATCAAGCGGTTCTATTTAATTATCGAGTTTTAATAAACCTTTTTGAATAAATACAATTACTAATGGTTAAAACTTTGCCGCATATCCCTAGAATAATTTATTTTTTGATGTTTCAATAAAAATCATTTAAGTGAATTTTGTTTTTTTTTGTCCAGTGTAACTTGTTTTTTTTTTTTTTATTGTCGGTTACAAGCATACTCCCGAAACGACTTGAAATCGCTGTTTGCGGCTCGATGAAATTCCATCTGTTTTATACTTCCATGGTATTTATGTAATTCGCCGATAAAAGAAAAAAAATTAACAAAAATACAAATATATAAATACATGAAAGGGACAACAGGAAGACAAATCAGACCATATCGTCAAACTTACCTTTTTTTAATTAAACGTGCGAATAGACTATATTTAAATAAAGTCTATTCGCACGTTTAATTAAAAAAAGATAAATATCATCAAAATTAAAGGAAATCTTAAAAATTAGATTTATTATTATTGGTTTTTAATTTTAAAATTAAACTAGCACAGTGGAGTAAAAACGCAGTACTTACGTTAGCTGACTTTTGAAGGATATGCGCACTGTAGTGTATATACATATTAATTGCTTTTCTAGGTATAGGCACAGTACTGTGCCTATACCTATATATATATAAAAATAAATATAATTACTTAAACCTAATTAAGTTTTTATTCAAAAACAAACAAAAACGTGCTAGTAGGTAAAATAAACAATAGGAGGATCGTAGGTATAATAAACAGTAGGTAAAATAAACAATACACTACACGTGTAGTATAAATACAATGACGAGGGTTATGGCTTGGGCAAACAAGCTTCTAATTAAAAAAAAGAAGTATTTCCTATTGTTTATTTTACCTACTGGGACGTTTTTGTTTGTTTTTGAATAAAAACTTAATTAGGTTTAAGTAATTATATTTATTTTTATTATAGTTGGTTAAAAAAATTAAATTGCTTTCAAAATATATGACTTAAGTAATAAACGTTTTTGTTTGTGAGAGATTCCATATTAAAAATTTAACTTAAATTTTTTTTTTAAACGAGCAAATTGACTATTATAAGATAAAATCTATTCACATGTGCGTGCGAATAGACCACGGCTGTTTCAGAGTGAGCTTTACGGCTTCTTGTTTTTTTTGGAAAATATTGACGTAGGGGGTGTTACTAAAACATT